GGGGGGGCGGGGGGGGGGAGAACACGTGGGAAGAAAGCGAACCGTCGGAAGGACAGAAGCGTGAGGAGAGCAGATCGGCGAGAGACCATGTCAGCCAAAAGCACCGCACAAGCACCAAGCACGTGTCAGCTCCCCACTAGCAAAAGCGGGCGATGGCACACTCACAGACTGCGCATGCAAGTACCCACGAGTTCGAAGTTTCCCAAACAGACACGCTTGTCTAAATGGCAGCACGCCTTCATGTGGCATTTTTCGAACGCGAACGCAGCACCCAATCCAAATCCCAGCCCTTCCCCCCGACGACACCCTGAACGGCTTGCATTGCGGACACAGTAGAGGACCCTCAGCAGTGCCCGTATGGACCAGACCAGTTCACATGCACTATTTAGAGGGGCCGGTACTAATCAGAACAGGGGTGCATAGGTTATGGTGCAGGAGTGGACACTCGTGCCCAGAGGATTAACCGGCACTATGCCGGTCTAGCAACTTTTCAACCGGCACTTCTGAGGGCCCTCTACTGTAGTGCTCGCGCTGTTTGAGTTTCAATACAACCTTGATGTGAGCAACAGCACACGTCACATATTCATCATAACTGATTACTGTACTTCATGTTAATTCTGCCCCTGAAACTGTCGCCAACGAAACTCTTCATAAACGCACCACTCTGTCTCGGTCCGCTTCCCCATGTACACGTAGACTCCGGGCCTGAACAGGGCGCCTTCGTTGACCTCCTCCCTCTCTATCCGTCGGTCCCTGAGAGAGATGAAAATCGTAACAACGCCAGAAAACATGTACAATAAAACGCTATCGCAGGCAGGGTACTCCACGAGCTCGGATAGGGAGATACTCATGACCGTGCGCTCGTGAATCACGATAGATCCTTGCATCAAAATACATCGAACGCGAGAGGGAATAATCGGCATGGCAATGTCACCGACTCACTACAGTCAAGGGTACCACTCATGAAAATTCACGGGTCACCGCCCCCGGGGGCTGCTTTACATCATATTGGCTTTAACACCATATAAAACACTTCGATCCTCACCGGTGCTGTATGAATACCCTAGGTACGGGTGGGCGCGCCCTAACGTTTGACCACAGCGTTCGCAAACCGCCACCCTACTGACCCGAGCCTAGAAAGGAGCGACAACATTCGCTTTACTGCTGCATCATTGGCAGAAGCGTGAGATCCTCTGTAAACTCGACTTGAGGCGGAGAGTAGTTCGTTTAGACAGCGACGCGAAAAAACATACCTAGCCACCACAACTGTGTGAGCGGCCTTCAGCCACACATCGCTGAAACCCTCCCTACAGCAATCACAGGCCATGCACTTTGGGCGCGCTTGAAAAGCGGTGCGTGAGAGCACCAAATGCAGTGCTCTCCTTCTACTGCTGTGGTGAGCAATCAGTCACGAGTCCAGAGATGTTGTGGCTTGAAGAAGGGCAACCGAGAGCGCCAATCAGCGGTAGTTCAGGCATCTGGTACGATGTGAGCCAACTTTTCGTGACCCGTGTGTGCTTACATAGGCCGACTGGAGAACAAAATGAGCAAATGCAGTTCGCAGTGTGTATATGTTGGCACACAAGAGCGTCAATCACTATGAGCGCTGTTGCCTCAGCGGTATTGCTGATCAACGCCTGTCATTCCGCCACGGAACTATGCTTCTTCTCGTGGAACCTCTTTGGGTGACACCTCTCCTAAATTGTGTGTTCGATGCACTGCCTACACAGCTGCCGATACTGGTGCTTTCACTGCTGTCCCTGCCCGAACGTTTCGACCTCCGTAGGAGGGCATACCGTCATACCAGCGAGGCGTGTCATCAGCCGAGGTAACTACAGCACCGCCACCCACGCACCTCTGCTGGTAGAGCTTGAGCCTGTGCTCCATGTACTGCTGCTCCTGTTTCTTCTCCACCTCGGTCTTGAGCCACTTCATGTTCTCGAAAAGGTCGTACTTGCCGAACTTAACCGGGTACTCGCATTCACGGTCAAGACCCTCCTGCAACACAAGAGAAATACACACAAGAAACGTGCAACGAAGAAGCGTGTGGGTGGGAGGAAGGTCGAGAAGGGCCGCGCGCGCGTTAGAGAACATTTGGGCGCCTTACTTTGGTCGGAGTTCATGAGGTGCATCCAATCGCGATCGGTGCCTTTCCTCGGCGAAACCAACAACGTGTACACCATGCAGCACAGTCTGGACCACATTCTGAACCACGTATAATACAGCGTTGCGTGAATGTTGCCGAGACACTTCAAGCGCGACTCAGCTCCTTTCGGCATCAAAAGCAACAAGAGGCCGTAATACAAGTACACGCTCCGTCTCGTCCGGCAATCTCGCAGGTAACTTCCTCTGATTCCTTGGTCCGACTGACAGCTTCGTCACATGAAAAAGCCCTCTGACAGGCAGGAAGCCATATAAACCAGGCGCGTACTTGGCGACAAGATACACATCCACATTGCATGTGCGACTGCCAAGCCCGACGTGTTCGGCATCGAGCTTGCTCTCCACAAACCTGAGCCATCATGTCCCGCATAGGGTCAATCCTGTTAGCCCTCACGAGGCCGATCCCACTCAAATCGATCTCGTTGAATCTGCCGTCACACGAACCATGGGCGTCGGGGCAGAGTGACACGGGTTTCCGCCCAAACGGAGCCAGTGAGAAGGTGAGGGGGGGAGGTGTGCTCATGAGCAGGCGCGCCCTCGAGGGAAAAGGTTCATAACAGCCTCGCATCTGCATGATTCGGGGACGTGGCGCGCAGGCGCTTCGCCAAACAGGTAGCGACGCACCCAGCGCAAACCATTCCGCTGGACCTTACAACCCCCCCCCCCCAATAAACAACACCGAATCCCGGCGGCTGTCGAAGAACCGCCTTCGGATTAAGTGTCAAATGGTACCGGAAGCTTTGCGCATCACGGCGCCACCAGGCAACACCGCAGACATGACTCCACACACCTGGCAACGAACACGCTGTCGTACAAGCCCGCCTGGTTGAAAGGGTCCCCCTCCGCCGTCTCCCTCGCCTCCTCGTCGTTGATGGCGTTGAAGAACATGAGGGAGCCGACCGGTTTATTCCTGGGGCTGTCCTCCGCCAAGTCGGAGCTTAGAATAGGCCCCTCGCCGATGCATCGTCTACAGCAGCAGCGGCGGCGGGAGCGATGTACGTTGGGAGATGTTCAGCGAAAGGAATCGAAGCATCGCTTGCAGGTCAAACAACAAAACAACAACAACAATAACAACAACAATTAGGGCGCAAGGAAGTTTGGGTTCGTTGTGATATACGCTGGGCCGAAACAGGGACAACTACCAGAGGATCGACCTTGATTGTGAATACTCGCGCATCCGTGGGACGAATACTGAGAATATTGGATCACGACAGACACAGGACCGCAGTAACGCATGTGGAACGTGATGCGATGCCCGCCCTTCTCGCCCCACCTACAGCACAACTTCACGTATGCCACGCAGCATACCAAATCTCCTGCACGGTGTTTGTAGCTCGGTTTCTCCACATCTGTGACAACACCGTCTGTGACAACACCGACCGGCACGTCTTGGTTCCGGGTATATCTTTCGAGTTTAACCCTTTTGGACATTACGCTCTCCTTGCTACGAACAATCCATTCTCTCGAAATTTGTTACGCCTTTCTGTGGAGGTCAGGATATGGATATTCAGGGAGGACAGACACACGTACAAAAGAGTAGGATCTAGGGAACATGTGATAATAGACCACTGTTATTACCAAGGTTCCATGACTCTTGCGATTCCCAACAGCTGCGAATGGTTGACGAATCTTTAGGAAGATGGGAAAATGAGTCCATGAAGGCTCGCCATACTCCGCACCACCCTAGCTTGACTGAGTTTGCCCGGTCACGCTTGGCATTCCTCGCCACATGGCACCAAAGGAAATAGCCAGCATCCCGTGGCAGGTCATAGCCACCACGCTCCGAACTCTAAGCTCACCCAGAGCTGAGGGCTCCCTGAGTCCTTAAGAACTGGGCACATGTACTCTCAGAGAGGCTGATTTTCCATTACAAACAGGAACGAACCCTGTCAACAGAGCTCAATATCGTGAAAACCCACGAAAGCAAAGAGGCTATTAACCAATGTGTCGGCGAAAAGGAAGGAGCCAGGATAACCCAACAAGAGGAAGCCCATGGGGGTCTGCAGTAACGTTGGTGGCAAAAGCTGACGGCACTTCCCTATTCATCGTAGACTGCAGAGCAACGGAAACAAAAAAATATGGGTCGTAAATCGTGGCCCATGCCTGAAATGGCAATTCCTCTTTACACAGTGTGTCTGCGATGTGCACAGTGCATGCCAAACAAAAAAACAATTTGCTTAACTTGCAACCCATAGAGTCGCATTCCTTCTTTTGGTACTGCCATCCGCTTTCGTACCTCCTGCAACAGAGATCCTCGACTTCGTGCGAGTGGTCGGGCCTCGTGACTTGGAGTTGTCGCGGTCACGTTTGTCGGCCGTCCGCTGGCTACGACCGCGCTGTCTACCATACGTGCTACCACTCGAGACGAATGCAACCCGCCCAGAAATGAAGTTTTTTAGGGCGGCGATTCGTTCAAACGCCGCCCTACAAAATTTCGTTTCCGGGCAGGACGCATTCGTCTCACGTGGAAGCACGTATGGTGGACAGCGAGGTCGTAACCAGCGGACGAGCGACGAACGTGACCGCGATAACCTCAAGTCACGCGGCCCCACCACCCGCAAGAAATCAAAGGTCTCCCGTGCAGGAGGCACCAAAGAATGCGACTTCATTGGTTGCAAATTCAGCACCGTTCGTTTTACGCGTGTGCGTGCGGATTGCCAGAACGAAGCGAAAGCGAAGCAAGAGGGGCAGAAAGCTCCCCAAACTTGGGGTCGCCCAAGTAGGCAGTATCCTTCGGCCAACGAGGGTCACCAATCATTTGGCTCTGTCAAAACCAGCAGGTACAAAGTGGGATAGACTGCAAAGCAAGAGCGAGCACAAGAGAGCCAGAGTAGATAAGGGGGATTCAAAACACTGTAGAAATAGTGTACGATCTCTGGTGGAAGTGAAACAAGCAGACGAAATTCTGTAAAAAGACAGTTCATGTACCACGAGAACATTATCACAACAACTGAAACAGCAAGCAGCGCGAGGAGTTCCTAAGTCCAGTACCAGCACAACTGATGCAGCCTCTGTACATCTAGCACTATAGTAGGGGATGGCACCCAAGCGACGCAAGTAGAGGCCTATTTACCGCCGCAAGCCTAGCACATAGCTACCGTAGCTGGTCAATCGATAGGTCAAACCTCACGAAAACTGATCCCATGAAGAATTTCATGTTTTTTTCATGTCTACGCTCGCTGGACATCCCGTGTGTCCATCAGTATTGCGATCGACTATCCAAGCGAGTACGCGTACCCGCCAGTAGTAACAATGAACCGGTTGACGAAATAATAATCGACACGGCGTCTGACATACCATCATTTCACAACAGTTTACGACAAGTCACGAAACGTTGAAAAACGCAAAGCTGGTCGAAAAATAAATCCCTCCCTCACTATCCGAAGACAGCCTACGGTGCCGTGTGGAGAACAAACGTGTTAGGATAAATACTGTACGGGTCCAATCTCTCACAGGCCCGCTACTAGGTATTGATGTCAACCATGTGTCAAAGCTTATCCTTGTAACGTATCAAGAACTTGTACTTAGTTCGGGTTCTGGTTCGCGTAACCATACCGCTGAGTGTAAGAAATCGTGGTGCTTATTGAGTACGATAGGCATACCGCTGGGTGTAAACAATCATGGTGCCTACTGAGTACGATTGGCATACGGTGTTCGACAGTCGAAGGACTGCTTCCTCGGCTCATGATTAGTGTCATCGAGATGCGCCCTGAAATCCACAAGAGACCGGATAACTTGACATTTCCTCGCCAGCATTTCACCAAACCAAATATTGTTGGTTGCTATCCCTCTCACCATATAGACACTTTGGAGATGTATGTTTTGTTTGCCTTCGGACTTGTTGTACTTTTCCGCCGAGTACTTTCTTGTTCACGAAATTTGCTGGCTTGTTACAGGGTGTGGAAGGGCCTTGCCTTGTGCTTTGCGCGTTTGTTTGTACTCGGATCCCTACCTTCGTCTCGTTTGCAGTTAGATATTTTCTGCGGCGCTTCGGACGATTTCTGGGCGGGCGCGATGTCCACATCATGTTTTGATCCGTAAGCGGAAGTCATTTCATGACGCTGCAGCTGTAGCACTTCATCTGCACGATACAATACATCATATCTGATTCAGGACCGTATCCTTTCAGTCTCAGTTGCTATCATTTAGGCCACCACTACGGACTCTCCGCGCACCCAGAGGGCTCCATACTTCCAGTAAGTATCATCCTGCGCATTATACGCGATGATCAAATCCGGAATTCGAAATCAGCCCAAAAGGGGGCGTGGTATCTTGTGTGGCACGCGACAGAACCTCGGCTTTCGAGGCCAATGAAAACGTTTCGCGGGTGTACCTGGTCTTCTCGTAGTACTCGAGGTGCGCGTCGTTGTTCTTCTCCCTGAGCTTGGCCTTCCCCTTCTTGTCCATGCAGAGCGCCAGGTAGGGAAAGTTGGACAAATGCCAGTTGAACCCGCCGCCCATGTTGTACGGGTAGCGGTACAGCGAAACCGTCCCGAACAGCCCGCTCTTTCGGTACGGGTCCTCCTCCAACAGGCGCAATGCCCCTTCCTGTTCGTATTGTGCGGAGGCGGGGTTGCGGGGG